GAAACATCAGTGAGGAGAGAGAATCACTGGTAGGCTGCCTCCTGCATGCCCCACATGGGGGTCAAGCCTGCAGCCTGGGCACATGCCCTTGACCGGAATCAAACCCAGGACTCTTCAGTCTTCAGTCTGATGCTCTATCCACTGAGCCAAACCAGCTAGGGCTCACTTAAAATTCTTGATTTCCATTCTTTGGAAAAGAATTGGAACACCTAACTGCTCAGCAGTAGTAACCCCCCTAACTCATTTATATTCCTTACCAGCTCCTGCTATCTTTTTTCTTTTCCGGACCCTGAATTAGTTCTTTAATCCTCAGAGTGTTGTAGCCCACTTAAGCTAGAGAGGGACCGGCTGGGTCAGGGGTCGCCGTTAGGAGAAGGTGTTGTTGGACTTGGGAGCGGTGTGCCTTCCGCTCTGCCTGCCGCCCTCATAGCTCTGGGGGGTGGCTGCTCACCTTCTGGGTTGGCCGTGACTTTTATTGCTAAGTCACCACCTTAGCTAAACGAGATGGCTTTTCACGTTCCTTAGCCCTTCCTTACCTTCCTGAGAAGGAACAGATGTGATTCCTTCATTGCTTTGGTTTGAAGTAAATTATTTCATGAGGCCGAGGCAGAATATGCTTGGCTTGAAAGGAGCCATGACTTTGAGAGCATAATTTAAGGATGAGAATGTCACGAGATCCCAGTAGATGGTCAGATGCTGAGAATATCTGGAAAGACTCAGCCATGTGACAGCTCCGTGCGGTTAGTGTTGGTGATTGGGGGTTTGTGTTTGTTTTCTCAGGATAAATGACTATTCCACTAGTTTTACAGCGAATTATACCCATCACTTCCTCACATCTGTAAAGAGCTTTTCTTTTTAAAACAAATGCATTTGAAGATTTTTAAGTGTGTACGTATATAACGAGGGAGAGAGGGATTTTGAGTATTGGAGTGTTCCAGTAATGGGCAGAAAGGGATGACCCGTCAAGCACTGGCTGTCCTAGCCCATCCGTGCTCCCACAGGAAGCGGCACGGGAAGCAATGTCATATTTATAAACAGTGGACAATGCGCTCTATGTCTTGGCCAGGTTCCAGACGGTTCCTGGCCGTTGCTAATGGTGTCAGAGTGCCCAGGTCGCTGGGCATGGATCCTCCGTGGGTGTGGTTTCCTCAGGAGGCTCTGTAGCTATAACACATCCCAGCTCCTCAGCTCTGACACGGACACCCGGGGTGTGCTGTGGCTGTGGACTAGAAGCTGATGCTCAGGAGTAAACAGAAAGCCGATATGTTCTCAGGAAAGGGCTTTGGAAATGGCGTGGACCCTGCGATGAGGGGATCTGGTTACAGATGCGTATTAGAGACACGCTCCAGGGTTCTGTTCAGCATTTCTGAACTGGGCATTGCCATGTCGAGACCTCTCATTTTCTTTCTTCAGAGATTAAACATGATCTTGGCAAGCCGGGTTTTCACCTAGGTTTAAATCTTAAAATTAAGACAGATTTCACTTATTTTAGTTACATAAAAAATAAGGCATGTTTTACATGACTGATGTACCAAAGCCTTCTGCGAATGGATAATGTGGTATGGATACAGAACACGGAACACAGGAGCTGGCCAGAGGACTTTGAAAGCCCTCATTTCAGAATTAGGATATTGGAGATTTCTGACAGTGGGAAAAGCCCACACATGTTTCTTTCATCTTCCCTAAAACCAGCATTTTCGGAAGGTGAGTGTCAGACTGAGAGGTAGGCTGTGCCTGAGGAATGAGGCTGTGTTTGTGCAGAGAGGAGAAAGTTTGCATTTGCTTTAAAGGATATATTTTTTTTTAAAATATATTTTATTGATTTTGTACAGATAGGAAGGGAGAGAGAGAGAGAGAGTTAGAAACATCGATGAGAGAGTCATCGATCAGCTGCCTCCTGCACACCTCCTACTGGGGATATGCCTGCAACCAAGGTACATGCCCTTGACCGGAATCGAACCTGGGACCCAAGCCTATACTCTATCCATTGAGCCAAACCGGTTTCGGCAAAGGATAGGTCTTTTGAGGAAGTCTCTGCGTGTGGAGTTTCTTTTTTCAAATCTATAAATAGAAGGAAAATGAAGGCAGTTTTTGCTCACTGGCCTCTGGACCGTAGGAATCTTCACATTTTGCATTTTCTCCCTCCCTACACTCTCCCCTTACCTTCCTTCCTCTCTCTCTGTTCCTTTTCCCCCTTCTTTTCTTTCCTTCCTTCCTTTTTTTCTTTCCCCTCCTTGGATAATGATTAGTAAATGGCATGTTTGTGATCTGAAAGAAGTGATGTACTGTATTTAGCGACTAACACGTGTGTAGGAATTTAGACATGAGGAGATTCTGCCTCCATAAATATTAAATCCTTAAAAAAGGAATCTCCATGCATAGTGCTGCAGTTATTTTTGGCCCATGATGTTTTCTGTTGTCTTCCCTTTCTCCGTACTTACGGACGGATGGAGATGAAGAATCTTGTTTGGGGATGGGTAAAGAGAGTAATTCTTACTCAGATACAGACAGCAGTGACAACATATGTTTATATGTTTTATATCTAAGTATGAAGCAGATATATGGCAAGAAGTAGTAGACCCTGACTAAGCAGACAAAAAGAAAAAGTAAAAGTAAGAATAAAAAAATTAAGTTTTGAAGTAAGTTGTGAAGATAGACACAAGCTCAGAGTACCTGCTTCTCTCCCAGCCTTTGAGATAGTTTCCATGTTAAGAACCCACATTGTGGAACTTCTCAAATAAGTGTTATGTGACTTAGGTTGTATCACCTGATTAGTGCTGTACACTAAAACGAACATACATGTATTTGGGAAACTATACCAGACTACCTGCCAAAGGCTTGAAAAGTTGTGATTAAAGTTATTTGTCACAATAGTGCTCTAAAAATATTAAATCTAAAAAAGCACCTGAATTTTAAAATTCTTCTCAGTTTCTCAATTTTTCCCCCTACAAAATAAGTTTTTAAAAAATGACAATAAAATGTACTGACCACTTAATTTTATAGCAAGTTACTCAGGGTCTAAAAAATAGTATTAAGTAACTGAGAGTATACTTCTTTTAGGTATTAAATGGCATTTGTCTATAGGATTATGATTACTTACAGTTTTAAAAAATATTTCTTGAGAAAGTATTGAATATTACGTTAATTTGTAGCATAAAAGAATTCTTTTCTTTCCTGAGTGTAATTGTACACTTAAGGCTTTTAAAAGTATTTCAGCTAAGGGATGGTAAAACTATGGCTTTTTGTTTGTTTTTAATAACGGTGATCATAGAGACAGATGGCACTGTTGGCACCTGACCAATGGATAGTGAGAGGGAGCGGCAACTATACATGGTCTCCTCCCGGTTGGGAGGCCCAGAGCTGGGGGCTGATTGGATGCGCTGCCCGGGGACAGTGACTGCCTCAGGCTAGTTGGTTGGATGAGGGCGGTAGTAATAGTAGCCATCTATAATTTATATCTCCTTAGTGATGTGCCTCCTCCTCTCAAAAAAACAAAAACAAAAAACGAACCCCCACATTTTCTTTTTTCTTTTTTCTTTTTTTTTTTTACATCTCTTAAGTTTATTGGGAAAAGTTAAAATGCTTCTCTAGTATCTGCTAAATGCCAGACACTTTTTATTCAAATTTACTTTTATTTATTTATTTATTTATTTATTTAAATCAATCTTTATTGTTTTGTTTTTTTAAATATATATTTTATTGATTTTATACAGAGAAGAAGGGAGAGAGATACAGAGTTAGAAACATCGATGAGAGAGAATCATCGATCAGCTGCCTCTTGCACATCCCCTGCTGGGGATGTGCCCGCAACCAAGGTACATGCCCTTGACCGGAATCGAACCCGGGACCCTTCAGTCCCCAAGCCGACGCTCTATCCATTGAGCCAAACCGGTTTCGGCTTTATTGTTCATATTATTACAAAGGTTCCTCATTTCTTCTCCCCCTCCACCGGGTTCCCACCCCACCCTCCGCCCCCTCCCCATCCCCCATTGTCCTCATCCATGGGTGCACAGTTTATGTTCAGTCTCTTCCTCCCTCCCTTTCCCCGATAGTAAATCCCTTTTCAGATAGTAAATCAGTTACTTAGCATTTTCTCATATCAATAATACCTCCACATGCCCAATGATACACTTCACACAAAAGACATTTCCAAATAGGTCAACTAGCCTCATCTGTTACTTAGTTAACTCTTTATCTTACAAAGCCAATAGTGGGCCCAATTACATTGTACATGTTTTTGATCATTTTGGCATGTGATCAATTAAATTTTTTCCTCTTTAGTGTATTCCTACTAGCCTGATAGTTGGGATTTTAGTTCTGTAATTCTCTTCCCCACGCCCCACCCCTTTATTTTGCCAAGCAGCATCTTTATACAATTTAAAAAATTTTAAGAAACATTTTTAAAACTTGCTGTTACATACTCATGGAATAAGAAGTTAAATCCTGTGCCACCTAGAGAAAACCACATAGTTTGGTATATGTGTTGCCAAAGATTTTGCATGTTTTTGTACTTTCTGCCATTCTGTTGATTTGTTTATTTCTATGTTTGTATCATATTGTTTGGATATCTGAAAGAGAAAAAAAAAATTCCTCCTTAATTGTTTATTTCAAAATATAATATATTTTATTGATATTTAGCAGAGAGGAAGGGAGAGTGATAGAGAGCTAGAAACGTTGATGAGAGAGAAACATCGACCCCTGCCTCTTGCACACCCCCCACCGGGTATATGCCCGCAACCAATGTACATGCCCCTGACCGGAATCGAACCCGGGACCTTTCAGTCCGCAGACCGACGCTATACCGCCAAGCCAAACCGGCTTTGGCTATTTCAAATAATTTTTAACTAAACTAAAAACACTTAGCTGCTTCCCCAAGAGAACTTTATAATCTGATAAGTGAATCTTATTGCTTGTTTAGATGGTATTTCATACCCTTGGTTTTATTTTTATATATGATTTATTAATTCAGTAATCTGTATTTTTTTCTTCTTACATTTCAGAGTCCTGTGTATGGAAATTCACATGAGTCGGTTCAGTCTAGAAGGGTAGTAATTTCTCATAATATGGATAAAGCTCTGAAAGAAGGTAAGGATGGAATGAGAGTACATAATTACCATATAGAGCAATTCATTATATTTATTCTAAAAGAAAAATAATCTCTAGCAAATTTATCTATCATTCTTGTCTGAGTATAGATAGCATCAAGATTTTTTCCTCATGAATTTTTATTTGATGACCAATTACATCTGTATTGTGTAAAGTCTTTAGAACTCTTCATCTTGAAAAATTGAAACTCTGTACCTATTAAACAATTCCCTCTCCCTTCCCCAGCCCCTGGCGATCTGCTTTCTGTTTATGAATTTGACTTTCAAGTTCCTCACATAAGTAGAACCATATAGTATTTTTCAAATTCATCAATGTTGTAGCATGTATCAGCATATCTTCCTTTTAAGGCTCAATAATATTGCACCCTAAATAAACATATCATGCCTAAGTACAGAGAAACCTCTAAGTCTTAAAAAATTAAAGAAAGACCATGTTTATAACAGCATCATGTTTATAACAATAGCCAAAAGGTGGAAGCAACACAAGTGTCCAAGGACAGATGATGAAGGAATAAATAAAATGTGGTATATACATGAAATGGAATATTGCAATAACTATGTATAGTGCCAGTTAGGGTACTGGAAATATCGAGGGGAACACTGTGTAAAGTGCATGACTATCCAACTACTCAGCTTTATACCAAAAAACCAATGCAAAATAAAATTGGAGGAAAAAAGGGAAACACAGGAAAAAAAAAAAAAGACAGAGTATGGCCAAGAGCGTGCCCTTCTCTCACTTAGATTGCTGTAACAGTGACAGCTCAGTCCCCAAATCAAACTAAGCAAATGTAGAATTAGGCTTCAAGTTGCTGTTTTACCAAGATTAATTCAACGTGTATATTTTAGTAATAAAGTATATTAATCACATGGTCCTTGCCAATATATTAACAAACAATATTGCAAAGCTTTTCTATTAATACACAATAAACAAAATAACATATATATATTTTTAAAATCCTCACTTGAGGATAGGTTTTTTTATTGATTTTACGGTGAGGAAGAGAGAGAGAGAGAAACATCAATGTGAGAGAGAAACATCAATCAGTTGCCTCTTATATGCACCCTGATGAGGGATCACACCCAAAACCTAGGTATAATATGTTCTCTGATCAGGAATTAAATACGCAGGCTTCTGGTATACAGGACTGAGCCACCTGGCCAAGGCAACAAAGTAATTATTTAAAACTAGGGGCCTGGTGCACGAAATTCCTGCACTGGGGGTGGGGTGGAATCCCTCAGCCTGGTCTGTGCCCTCTCAGAGTTCAGGAGTTCTTGGGGGATGTCTTTCTGATGGCTTAGCACTGCTGTGGAGGCGGGAGAGGCTCCTGCCACCGCTGCTGCCCCCATCAGCCATGAGCCTGGCTTCTTGGCTAACTGGTGCGCCCCTTGTGGGAGCACACTGACTACCATGGGGAAGCTCCTGTGGGGTTGAATGTCTGCCCACTGGTGGCCAGTGCACGTCATAGCCACAGGTTGTTCTGCAGTTCAGCCTATTTGCATATTAGCCTTTTATTACATAGGACATTTCATTGAAAACCAACATGAGACGAATTAAAAACAAAATTGCCTACTAAACATTTTGGACATTTAAATTAATAAGGAATTAGAATCTAAAAATGTGTCCAGAAGGCTAAGCTGCTAAACAGCTTTGTAAACATTTAGAAAATCTGTAGTGGTAATAACTTGCATGTCTAGAATATTTTAATTTACATTTCTAAACTTTGGAACCAGTACATTTAATTGAACTTCTGAATATTGTTAGCTATTTTTAGTGGACTTGCCTTGATAAAATTGAGCGTCTTTTGGTATGCTTGTGAGTTATATCAGAGATATTTATTAAGGCGAAAGTAATTTAAGTTAAATTTATATGAAATACTTAAGAACATTTATTTTAAAATTTCTCCCTGAAGTTAGATTAAACTAGATAACATTTGTATACTATTTTATCTTTTTATATTTTATTCCTTTTAGAAAGTATAATTTAAAAGCAGATTCATTTTAAGAGTTGAGTAAATTACAAGGCAGATATGTGTCTCTGCATGTTTGTATGTGGATTTTTTTTTTGTTGTCGCTACTAAAGTTGACAACATAGTTACTTAAGATTTATCTTTTAAAAACTTAAGTTTTTATAGATTGAATTACTAAAAAGAAAGAAGTAATAGGCAAGTATGCAGAACAAAATAATATGGTTAGATTTCCTGTAAAGTAGTAAGAAGTACTAAGCTTCAGATGCTGAAAGTTTAATTGCATAATCGGAGATGATCAAAGGATAGCATCACTGTGCTTTGTTAGCCAGTTCACATGTAGAAACTATATTGAGTGGTTCAGATACAGTATGAATGATCTGTGTGTCTGTCTGAGAAGTCGGAACAGCTGCCCTCCTGTACCAGATAGCTAAAAGTTTTTGCTGAAGTTACATTTCCTGGGAAACTGACAGATACAGAGGGGAAAAAGACTAAACGAATCTTTTGACTTACTATTTTTTAAAAAATATATTTTATTGATTTTTTACAGAGAGGAAGGGAGAGAGATAGAGAGTTAGAAACATCGATGAGAGAAAGCCATCGGTCAGCTGCCTCTTGCACACCCCCTACTGGGGATGTGCCCGCAACCAAGGTACATGCCCCTGACCGGAATCGAACCTGGGACCTTTCAGTCCCCAAGCCGACGCTTTATCCATTGAGCCAAACCGGTTTCGGCTTGACTTACTATTAAATCTCACTATAACAGAAGATAATTATTAGGTCATTTTACAAGTAAACAAACCTATTAGTTTCTTCGGAGCATGTCCTGGGGAAGGTGGTAATCGCTGGTACCAGGCTCCCTCTGGTACCCAGAGGAGGGAACACTGTCCGAGAAAAGGTGCTGCCGTGGGAAGAACTCCCACTTGGAAGAGCATGCCTCCTCCCACCCGTTAGGATGCTCACGCAGGGTATGACACTTCTCCCCGTGCTATGCGGTATGTTGCTGAATGAATGGATCCATCAGTGACATAAACTAATAACCCCAGATCTTTCCAGAAGATGACTTTCTTCTACCTACAGATAGTGATTATCAAGTATCTAATTGCATTTTTAAAACTTTACAAACCATAAAGGGCCGTTAGTATGAACAAGGAATTATTTGTTGTCCTTATCACTATCATGAGGCCAGTTTCTGGTTGAGTGGGGACTAGTTCTTTGTTCTTAGAGACTCAGGTGATGGACATTTATGAGTCATGGGGCTCTACCTCTTGAATTGCTCTGGGGAAAGGCAGAGTTGGAAAAAATGACTTTCTTAGAGTTCACTCTCTTTTTCTTTGTTTTTATTGATTTGAGAGAGAGAGTGCGTGCGCACACGAGGGTGAGAGGAACATCAATTAGAGAGAAATATCTATTGATTGGCTGCCTCTTGCATGCCCCCTACTGTGGATCGAGCCTAATACTCTGGAGATGATGCCCCAGTCAACTACCCCCCATTGCCCCTCTGCCACCACTGGTCACCGCCGGCACCCCCCCCCCCCCCGCCTCCCATTTCCATCCCCTCCCTCTGCCCGCTGGCACCCTCCTTGGCTGGCCTGGTGCCACTCACTCGCTGGTCCCGCCCCCTGCTGACCAGTCATTCCACCGTTTGGTTGATTTGCATTTTAGGTTTTTATTATCTAGGATTATGGGTTAGTCATTTGGATGCCAGGTGTGGAATAGGTCAGGATCCTAAGTTACATTTTGTTTCACAGGATTCCTGGGGATAAACCAAAGTGTGGTAGACAAGCAAAGCAAAGCAGGAAATGATGTATGGTCACATCAAAATGAAGCCAAGCCAAATGGTGTTCGGAAAAATAACCTACTAAAATAAGTAGTGATTATAAATAGCCCAGGCCCTTCAGTGGGAACAGGGTTATGTGGCTAAATGTTTTGCTTCCTTGGAGCTCTTGGTGGAATCACACGTAAGCCCAGTAACATTTTTAATTTTCAGAAGACCTGATTTCTTTCAAAGATCGCTCATTGGCTTCCCCTTTTTTTCCTACATGGACTTAACACTGTGTCAGTTGGCAAAGACGTGTGTACAGGGTTGAGCCCCAGTATCAAAGCATGGCGAAATGGGTGAATCTGGAGCTGAGAGGCAACCCATGATATAACCTGTATACACCAGAAGGGTGTGGCCAGTGTCTGAGATGCTCTGTTTTAGATGGTTTGGCACCAAGGTAGACTATTTAAAAATTGGGCTGTCCAAGAACATCCGGGACATATGGTCACCAGTCACCTCAGAATATTTCATTTGGAAAGGTTTCAGGGAAGATTGTCCTCTTGTTTTGTTTTCTACTCTCTTCATATGCCAGGCTGTGACTATTAAGCAGTAGGAGGCCAGTCTCCAGTGGAGATGCTGTCTTGGGGTTGCTTCCTTCGTCTGAGTGTGTTCTCATTGCTGTCTGCTCTCGCAGTGTTTGACTATAGTTACAGAGATTACGTGCTGTCCTGGTACGGGAACCTCAGCAAAGATGAGGGGCAGCTCTACAACCTGCTCCTGGAAGACTTCTGGGAGATTGCCAAACAGCTGCACCACAGGCTGAGCCACGTGGACGTGGTGAAGGTTGTCTGCAATGACGTGGTGAGGACCTTGCTCACTCACTTCTGTGACCTGAAGGCTGCGAATGCCAGGTAAACGTTGTAATATAACCCTCTCCCTCCCCCCCCTTCACATGGAGATACTGCTCTTATTGAGCAAGGGGTCGCAGTCAAGACTCTAGAATGTTCTGTCTTGCTGACACTTGGCTTGAAATGTATACATAGTGAAGGGAATAATTATATTATTGATATATATATGATAGAATATGATATAAACAAAATAACTTGGTAAGAGAAAACCACTTTACAGACTTGTTTAATTTTATAAATAACTTAAACAGTGAAGAGAATTTTATTGAGTCAATACTCTCATGGATTATTTATAGTATTATGGATACCTAGAAATAGAAAAAACTTTAAAAATATGTTTTTATTGATTTTGAAGAGGGAGGGAGAGATAGAAACTTCAGTGATGAGAGAGAATCATTGATCAGCTGCCTCCTACACACCCCTTACTGGGGATCAAGCCCACAACACAGGCATGTGCCCTGACTGGGAATTGAACCGTGACCTCCTGGTTCATAGGTCGACACTCCACCACTGGCCATACCGGCAAGGCTAGAAATAGAAAATTTAAGCATAAGGTTTTATAGTGTCTGATGTGTGTGTGTGTCCTGTGTTAAGAGCATCACCATACCCTGAAAACTGATTTTTAAAGTAACTTAATAATATTGGAGCTTGTGGGAGATAATTAGGGATGTTTCCATGTGAAATTGCCAGCATGAGGCTTGTTGGCCTTTTGTACCGTCTCACTGGAAAGGTCTGTGCAGGAGGCACTGGCATCCTTAGTGGCCGGTGACTCAGATCCTCTTCTGGGAAGAGCTGGTGGGTGCGTGTATCAGAGGGCGGGCCGTTCTGCCCTGTGATGTGCTCGGCAGATCTGGTTGCTCAACATGCTGGTACAGCAGCTCTGTCCAGGCTCGGCTGATTGCCTCCTTCCCTGCCACGTCTTCTCCCTCAGTCTCACCGGCTCAGTTTATGAGACCACAGTCCACAGCCATCACATGCCTGTTAGTGTCCAGCTTTCTGCCTCGGTGTTTTGCAAACTTGTAAAAACTGGAACCCATAGTAAGACATACACTTTATATCAGGACCCAATTCTGTGAAACAGTACTCTTATTATATGTGATAATTGTTTTTTGTTTGTTTGTTTGTTTCTTAACATTTTTTTTAAACTGGTGTTTGAGACCAAGTAAATTTTATTTTATTTCTTGTGGGTTACAACTCATGGTTTGAAAGCATGACTGAAAAGCAGTGATTCTCAGACTTTTTGGGCTCAGGAGCCCTCTATATTCTTAAGAGTTATTGAGAGCCTAAAAATAAAAGAGCTTATGTTCGTGGGTTCCATCTCGTGGTGTGCTGGGCCAGCCTGTCCTGCTTTGCGGGAGCTGACCCGGAGTTCAGTGACATCAGGTGATTAGCGTGCAGTTGGCCGGGGAGCGGCGCTTGCACTGTGAAATGGGTGGATGCTACAAATCAGAGCTTCCTTTCCTCCTTCCGAGAGCCGGTTGTTAAACATTTACTAGCTCACCACTTACTATCCCATCTATCAATATTTACCATGTTAGATATTAAAACTAAGAACTTTAAAGTGCAAGTGTACCCTTTCCATTAACCATGAGTGATGATGTCATCACACATTTCATAGCCTCCGGAAAACTCTGCTGCGCTTGAAAGACCAAGAGTGAAAAAACGTGACATTTTTGTGCTGCTGTGAATGTAGCTCTGCCCTCAGAGACCCCCTGAAAGGGCCCTGGGGACATATAGGGGTCTCCGGACCACCCTCCGACTGTCGCTGTTTATAAAGAAGTTAACTGCCAGGAAGAGGGGATGTGAACTAATGAGGAAAGTGAGGGTGGGATTGGGGTTTCCTCCCCAGATCTCAGAGGCTCCCTCCTCTCCTTTTCAGGGTCCAGCAGCCCTTGGGGCACCTGCTGATCTGTAAAGGCTCCACAGTTCTACCGGGCTGCCGAGACTTGTTTGAATTCAGTGGGAGCTCATTGTAAAGTAAATCATTTAAATGATGGTCCCGTATTTCAATCAGTGTTTTATTTCCATTAGAAGGATGGTTGATTTAGATTTGGGAGAAGCGCAAGTGTTTAGAGAAATGAGTATTTTTATGATTATCTAATTTTAACATAAGAATATATTTTTCACTGTGACATTTACCAGTTCCTGAAATTACTGCTTTTGTGAACAGCATAAAAATGTTATAGACAAAGCATCAGAGTAAAAGAAATAGAGGACTGATTTCATTGGAGAAACTCCTTTCCTTTGGGCTTCTAGCTGTCTCATGCCCAGAGAGGATTTACTTTGCTGATATCTGGGCCCTGCCTACACGTTTTGGTTGATGGTCCTTATTAAAGAAAAGACTCTATCACTGGGATTATGGGTATTTTTTTGAATGTATTTTATTGATTTTTCACAGAGAGGAAGAGAGAGGGATAGAGAGTTAGAAACATCGATAGGAGAGAATTATCGATCAGCTGCCTCTGCACACCCCCTACTGGGGATGTGCCCGCAACCAAGGTACATGCCCTTGACCGTAATCGAACCGGGGCCCTTCAGTCCCCAAGCCGACACTCTATCCACTGAGCCAAACCGGTCCCAGTGGATTATGGATATTTTAAAAAGTGCCAGTAGGTCATTGGCTTTTTGATATAGATGATCAGATGTGTCCTGGAGGTGAACCCTGAAGGACTAATGTCACCTTCTGCTCATCACACATAAGACTGGTAGACAGCTCAGGTTCGTTGGCTAGGTCTGCCCCTGCCTGCCCCACCTAACCTGTGCCCCTGAACTAGCAGTCTCCATGCATGTGCAGGTACCATGAAATGGCCTGGCAGCCCCGGAGGCTCCAATTGAATTGGCCACTGTCAGACAAGAGAATAACAAATTGCATTAATAAAAGCAACACATCCTCTGGCGGACTGTTAGGCAGAGTGTGGAGGTGGCTTTCCGGTCAGCCTGTTCTTATTTCCAGGCCAACATTCTGTTGCTTCTGTAAGCCCATCCAGATCACATTTAATTCTTGCCTCTGCTTCCTCTTCCTTTGTCCTATCTGTCTTGTTCCAGCAGGTTTCAAGAGAATCTGAGAATGATTTTTTTTTATGCTGTTAAATTGATAGCGTCTTTAACTGTGTAGTGATTTACAATCCCCGTGTTTTACCAGTCAAGCACCGGCATGCTGCTTAAGGGGGAAGAATAATGTTATTTACATATTTTCCTTCTTTAACTGCAATTTTTTTCTCATCCTTGCAATCTCTGATTACAGCGTAGAGTAAACAATCTGTACTGTAGAGTCATTTCTGCTATTTATTACCTCTGTATTTTGGACCATTCATTTAACCACTTAGTTCCTTAATATTCTCATCTGTACAATGCTGGGATCATATATACTTCTTGGTGTAGATGGAAAAATGAAGTAATAGTGAACATATGATATTTACAAAAAAGTCCTTTTCCTCATTCAAGGAATGAGAACCCAGAAGTAAGGGAAAGGAACTGCAGGAAACAGATTCATACCGAATAAAAAGGCTGCTGCCAGGATTAGGGCTACAGTCTACCGGAAAGCAAGACGGACAGCTGCTGACGCAGAAGCAGCCATTTGACTCGCGATTCTTTCTTGGCTTCTGAAGCAATACCTGATGTCCACATGCTAGGGAGCATCATGGGAATATCCTGCAGGAAGTTGGCATAGGGTATCGGGGAAGCATTCTCCTTTCCTTTTTCCAGAGATCAGGCTTATTTGGCCAACCTCTGACTGGTTCACTCCGAAGGTGTTCCCCTGACTGAGCTTTAGGAGGGAGAGGGGTAGACGCTCAATGCAGGAGCTGCCATGATGTGCACTGGCCATTTAAAAAGAAATGGCACTGTGGACCTGGCACCAACAAACCAACCCTTGGCTTCCCCCAAGTCGGACACAGGCCTTGCCACCACCCCAAAAGTGATATCCACCAAATTGCAGCCAACGCTGCCAAGACCCCATGGCATAAAATGCAGCCCACAGCCCAGCCCAGAAACCATTGCTGTGGGTGCTGGCTAATGACGTTATGCAGCAACGCCCGGCTTCCTCTCTCTAGTGACTAGTGTCCTTGGGGTTTCTTCAGCCCAAGAACCCGACTTGCTTTATAGCCAGGTGCAAACATTTTACAGTTCAATTAAATGTGAAGTGTATTCCCGTGCCTCATCTCATTTGATTCTCACAGAAGTCCTGGAGTAGGTAGATAGGAGACTCAGTAGAATTCTACTTTCTTTTCATTAATAAGACAACGGAGATTTAGAAAGTTTAGAAACTTGACCCGACTGAAAAGAAGTAGAAATGGTGGAACTTGAAATGACTTCAGGTTTTCTCACTGTGCACAATATAGTCAAACACTGCTACAGTTAAATACTTAACCTTTTTTTTTTTTTTTTGCCTATGTAATCTATAATAATAATCTTCTTTGTGTTGATATTTACTGCCGTGTTGCTGACAATTACCTGAAGGAGAAGTTGGGGTTCTTCACTGGGCTGGAGAAAGTTTAGCTAAATCAGAAAGCAGGTCTAATTAAGCAAGTTTATCTATATATACACTGAGTGATCTCTGAACGCATAATAATCTGGCCACTCAGTATATCTATATATCGAGGCAGCTGGGGCCGCAAAGGCCTATCCTTGCACGTAGTTCATGCATCAGGCCTCTAGTGTATATATAACTGTGGATGCTGCTTAAGGTTTGAAATTCCAAATGGCCATGTCTTTGCACTTTTCCAGATTAGTTGTAATAGAGAAAATGATTGGTTATTGATATTGTTGAGGAGTGGGCACACCAATTGAAACTTATGTACTGCCCATTTGAAATATTTTTTACGTAATGGCACATAACCGAGTTGTTTCTAGAATTTTCTTTCCTTCCTTTTTCCTCTCTCACGTGTTTATTTTTTAGACAAGAAGAACAGCCGAGGCCTTTTGTGCTGCATGCATGCTTAAGAAACTCAGCTGAAGAAGTACGGTTCCTACAGACATGTTCTCGGGTTCTGGTGTTTTGTCTCCTCCCCTCAAAGGACGTCCAGTCACTCAGCTTACGTATAATGCTTGCAGAAATCCTCACAACAAAAGGTAGACTTTCCTAAGTAATTCGTATTACTAATGCGGTGATAATTGTGCAAATGCTTGGGCTACACACTTCTAGGACACCTGCATGGACCTTGCATAGTATTGGACAGAGGAGAATTGATATACTTTCACATTTTAAGTTTAAATGTCGCTCAGAGAGCACATCATTTGCCCATATGTGATAAACCCGTTTTTACATAACATTACCCAATGAAGAGTACATTTTATTGTTTATTTTGACATAGGATACCCAGCCCTGTGCTCTCCAGAGGGAAGCACCCATTTGGGATAGCTTTTGACATATCCAGGCCAATAATAATATAAACATTAGTGAAAGAACATCTATAGTCAAACTCCAGTGTGCATTTACTTAAAATACCTTTGCTATAAGATTCATTGATAGCCTGGCCCCTGTGGCTCAGTGGTTGAGCATCGACCTGTGAACCAGAAGGTCATGGTTTGACTCCCAGTCAGGGCATATACCCAGGTTGCAGGTTTATTCCCAGTTGGGGGCATGTAGGAAGCAGCTGATTAATGATTCTCTCTCATCCTTGATGTTTCTATCACTCTCTCTCCCTTTCCCTTCCTCTCTGAAATCAATTAAAATATTTTTGAAAGATTCATTGATATGTAATTTTGTGAACTTGGAATAAATAAAAAGTAGAACCGTACCACAATATAAGGTGATTACTAGAAAAAGTATATCCAGGGAAATGCTTAGCCAGAATAAGAAAAATGAAAGAAGATATGACCTAAGTTCCTATCTCAGACATTCAAATAAATAATGTTGCATTTGATATGTATTGATTATCTCATTTATTGTTTCAAGATTAGCCAGCAGTGCCCATTAGCTGATAACTAGTCACCCACAGAGAAAAGGGGAACTTTTGAGCCTAAAGTTAATAGAGTGAATTTGTAATAGTGCCATCGACTCTTTAACAATTCCTTCCCTCAGGGCCACTTTCGGCAGTTGGGAGCATGTTGACTTTCATCTTTGGGCAGACAAATCACATGAGCCTTAGAAAAGAAATTAAAGGAAAATCAATGTATTTCATTTCAATAGCTTTGTTAGCAATTCGGTATAGACAGGCAGCCGTGCATGTGGGCATGTGAGTGTTTGAATGTTCCCCGTTTGGGTAGTTAGAAATGTTTCCCAAATGCAGTTTCAGTTTTATGACATAAAAACAACCCCTCTGAAGGGCACTGCCAGCCATTCTCAGTCGTGCTTTCTCCTCCCGCAGTCTTGAAGCCTGTGGTGGCGTTCCTTAGCAATCCCGATTACATCAACCAGATGCTGCTTGCCCAGCTGGAGCGCCGAGAACACGTGAACGAACATCACAAGAGAGCCTACACCTATGCTCCTTCGTATGAAGAGTTCATCAAGCTCATCAACAGCAACTCCGACGTGGAGTTCCTGAAGCAGCTAAGGTACTCGGTCCTCAGTCATAGCAGGAGAGTAGCTCTCCATTCCCATTCTCGGCCGGGTTAGGGATAGAAAAATGTGTTTGCTGGGGAAGCAGAAATAAAGGAAGTCGATAAATCTTACCACTTAGTGATAACTACATTTATCCAACTTCTCCTTCAGCAGTGGAATTAGATTTTTCAAAGTATAATGTTTTTCAAATAATTAGGTTATCATAGATTGGGAGCTATTTAGTTGTTGGGAGTGTCTGCTCAGCTGCTCTGATGCTTACCTTAGGAAAGCATTGGAAGGAGGTGATGTGTTTATAAACTTCACTGCCGAGCTCTGCACTGCACAGCGGCCCAGGTTTGGAAACAAGGGATTCTTGAGGAATTGTTTGAGAAAACACATTTGAATTATACCCCAGGAATCTCTTTTATAGGAAAGTTCAATCTCACTTATTGTACGTGAGATATTTTAAGGGTGAGTGTGTGTGTGTTTAATTTTTCTTTTCACAGCAAGTATATAGATATATATATATACTTGAATGTTCCCATTTGGGTAGTTAGAGATGTTCGCAATTTGGTATAGATAGTATGATTATATAGTGCTGGGCAGCTTGCAGGTTTTCTGGGCCTCTGTCTATGCTGTGTCTAGTGTCCCCAGAGGACAATACTTGGGGAAGAAAGGAAGCTCTGGTGTGCCATTTTGCTTCGGATAAGCACTTTAGTAAATCATGGATGGAAAAGTAAAATATTGGCTGAAATTCGATGTTTGGACCATTTGAGGATTTTACATTTGTCTTATATGCCTCTGAACTAGCGTCAACATGAAAGTGAGTTATAAAAAGCTGACAAAAATCTTTAAAAATAAAATTAGAGATAATTATGTAATACTACTCTTGGTGCTCCACCATCATCGGTCATTTTGTATCTGAGAACCGTTCCTCATATTATGAATGAATTTGGTAAGAATTAATGGTTTATCTTCTTCAAAATATACTAATCAGAGGCTCAGGATTAGAAATGCTGTAAATAGCTTAATGTTGGCAGTTCACCATCCAGCAGGAAAGTAAGCAGCTCGGTAAGAACTGCCCTTTAAAAACGAAGTCATGGTGTCTCTGCCCCAGGGGACTGGGCACAGCCTGCTCTGTCACCGGGGGCATCGGGGATTACCTCAGCCTGCGTGGCCAGCTTCACACGAGAAATTCTGACTACACATTCCCCTTCCCCTCTTTAGATGCTTGATGAAACAAAAACAGCACGCGCACTTAAATCTTTCTCAAACATCACCTCCTCGTGCTCTCAAATAGGGCAGCACTGAGGCTAGCTCCTGGGGGTCCAGGGAAGGCGGGCCTCTGAGCACCAGGGGCCTTCCAGGCAGGAGAAGTGCTCAGCTGCAGAGTGGCTTCCTCAAATACTGAGATAATTCACATGCCATCAAACTCATCATTTTAAAGCGTATAGTTCAGTGGGGTTTTAGAATATTCAAAGGCTGTGCAGCTGTCACCACTAATTCTCATCCCCCCGTGAAGAAACCTGTCCCGGTCAGCAGGCCCTTTCCACTCCTCTCCTCTCCCAGCGCTTGACCACCACTGCTCTATCCTGTCCCTATGCATGTGCCTGTTCTGGACATTCATGGAAGTCAGTCATCCAGCATGTGGCCTGTTGTGAATGGCTTTCTTCCACTCAGCATGTTTTCAAGGTTCCTCCACTGTAGCATGTACCAATAGTTAATCCCTACTGTTGGCTGAATAATATTCCGTTGTGTGCATACCTTATTTTCTTTATACACCCATCAGCTGATGGAAGATTTGGGTTGTTTGCACTTTAACAAATGCCCTTTCAGTAATTGTTGAGCATCTTCAGTAGCATTATCAGTGACTGTCGATAAATACAGGGTGGGGCAAAAGTAGGTTTACAGATGTGAATACACAAAACGTAGAGTTTATTCTCGTATTATTTTTTGTTATCTCTTGTATTATCACATGAACAACCGGAAATGTGCTTTTGCCCAACCCTGTCAATAAGAGTAAAATAAAATACTGCAGATTGATAATCTCTCTTGACCACTGGCTCCTCCTACTCTATACCTGCCAGCAACAGGAGCAGAGGAGGGCAGACATCCGGCAGGTGTTTCTGTTGTGTATTATTTCTGTTCCATGTGTTGAATTCTCCGTGCCTTCCATCTTACTGTCAGGCTTTGTGTTCCCAACGAAGTGTTTAGAGACAAAGGAAGAACACTCAGAGGTACTTTGGTGAAAAGATAATGGAATTCTGAAAGTACCTACTTACTCTATGAGAAACAAAGAGAATACAGTTCAGAGCTAAGTCGGTGTTCTGACTGGGTCCAGCTGGAATGACCTATTCTTCTGACCTCCACCTCTTTTTTTTTTTTCTTTTAATCCTCATCTGAGGATATTTTTCTATTGATTTTTAGAGAGAATGAAAAAGGGGGGAGGGGAAAAGAGACACATTGATGTAAGAAACTTGCATTGAATTTTTGCCTCCTGCATGCACCCCAACTGGGACCCAGTCTGCAACCGAGGTGCATGCCCTTGATTAGAATCGAACCTTGGACCCTTGACTCTGTGGGCCGATGTTCTAGCCACTGAGCCAGTCTGTCCAGGGCTGACACCCAACTCTTTATAAACTTTCAGTTCCTCATGTAACTCTGGGGGAGCAAGTCCATAGCTTCCTCTAGAAGGGGTGCAGGGTTCCCTGGTGACGAGGAATGTGGGCTCTGGAAGGAGTCACATGCATTTGGCAGCCTCAGCTGTGGGACCTGGTAATCCTGAAGATTGATGGTCTCTCCACAAACTCGGCAAAGAGCCTTTGGAGAAAAAGACTGTGAGAGGCACTTTCTCTCGATGGGAGATACACACCTCAGAGTTCCCTTCAGAATACTGTACTTTTACACATACCGTGTTATCCTGAGGCAGTTCCCCTGAAGCTGACTGTGAAGCAATTCCTGGGACTTAGCCGGAGGGTAGATGGACTTATGCTATTCAGTGCAGCCCTAGGGCTCTAACAGCTGCTAGCTGCAGGATGACAGCTGGGTAACTGTGCTGGTTCTCAGGTGCAGGGAAGATGTCTTGTCGGGGGCTCTCTTTGTTATGACCTGCTATATCTTTTTTTTTTTTTTTTAAAGTAATATATTTTATTGATTTTTTTACAGAGAGGGAGAGGGATAGAGAGCTAGAAACATCGATGAGAGAGAAACATCTACTAGCTGCCTCTTGCACACCCCCTACCGGGGATGTGCCCGCAACCAATGTACATGCCCTTGCCCGGCATCAAACCTGGGACCTTTCAGTCTGCAGACCAACGCTCTACTATTGAGCCAAACGGGCTTTGGCTGACCTGCTATATCTTTTCTGCAGGGGCTGTTGTCCCTATTCACTGCATCTCAGGGCAGGCCTGAGGGCTAACTACTACTCGCCCAGCTTGAACTAGAGCGATTGTAAGTCCGGGAACAATTCTGCAATAGCAGAGATTGATCATTTTGCTCAAAAAAGTAGGTGGTGGTGCATAAATTATCTTGTTACTTGGCCGCTTACTGTTTATCTGATAAAAAATTGCTCTCTATTCCAAGGTCAGGCCTGCTTACGGTTATTGACAGGCTCCTGTCTAAAAGCTCCATCCGCAGCTATGTCAGTGACCAGCACTCATGGAGCTGCTCTCCTCAGTCGCAGTCTGAGCCACTCTGTGCTTCTCTGGTAAATGAGAGCACGCTGCCGTCTGACCTCATTGTGCTCTCGGCCCCTGTCTTCACGCCGCTCTTCAGAAGACCTTAGGGGTGGCTGCCTAAGGCGGGGACCGTGTCTTATTGAGACTGAGCAGTTGATGAATCTGTCCACTTCTGTTTTATGTACAGTTGAGAGACGGGGGGGATATTTTTTAAAGGGGGAAAAAGTCATTTAGCTCTACCAGGCTGGAATGCATTCAAAACAAAGAAACAGACAAAACTGGAAACTGTTGTTGAAGTTCTGCGGAGTTTGTTTTCTGTTTGAGTTGGCAGGAGATGCTTTCACAGTAGGACTTTAGACCTGGAAATGTCCTCTTAAAATATACCAAATTAGTGGTTTGCCCTGGCAGTGTATTAAAATCACCCAGGCTTTAAAAAGGTTACAGGACGATAGCTCACTTTCCTTAGCTACTCCCTTTCTCTTCTTCTCTGGCATCCCAGAAGTCAAAGCAAGGATGTGATTCCTGGGTTGGCATAATAGTTTGAATTTTCCAATGTCTTCTAGGAGGAGCAGTGATCGATTCTGCTAATAAAACAGGAGTCCCGAATCTCAGTGTCATCTTGATGCAGGAAATTAAAGGGCAGGCGGACCAGATTCCCCACCGTCCGTGTGGGCGGTGAGACAATGACCAGGCAGGGAAGCAAAACAGGGCTCAGAGCCACGGTGCATCCGTTAATGAACTTGGCAATTACAGCCTTGCTGGAGGAGGAGCTGTGCTGCTTTGTTTTGAAGATGAAGCTGGAGTCAAAGTGAACATTAAACAAGGGAAATGGAAGGTTCGGCTCTGGCAGGAACCACGTAGCCCTAAGGGACTGGGCAGGTGGTGGGCCAGGAACGCAGCTCGGGCTGTGTGGACCCCAGGTCTCTGTAAAGAGTGCCCTGATGAAAAATATCTGCTCCTCCGTGACATGGATGCTTGTTCTATAATTGCTCAGAGTGGGATCTGGGCACCACTGTTTGTAAAAAGCTTCTGATGTGATTCTAACATGTAACTAATTCATATTGAGAATCTCTTAAATGGAATGTTCTCCCACCTGCTGCCAATCTGAAGTCTTGGCTAGATGTTATGTTATAAAATTGTTATATTTTAATTATTTAAAAGCTGTATATCATAGTTTTGAGGTATACGGTGACTCTAGTGAGAATATCACTAGATCGAAGGCCTTCCTGAGAGCTATGTTTATTAACGCAAGCTTCTCACCCTTGGCAAAATGGACATTTTGGTGTTTTGAACAGTGATTCTGAAACTATATTGTGAGTCATGAGCAGTAAGACAGG